GATCCTAAGACTGAGCCCTGACGTACCCCCACTTGTGACATTAATCCAGTTTGACTTAACTCCATTTGTAACAACCCTCTGTTTTCTTCCATCCAGCCACTCGTCTATCCATTTGGGTAACTTATCCCCAACATCTATAGAGATAATTTTTTTACAAGCCTTTTATGTCGCACCTTGTTAAATGCCTTCTGAAAATCCAGATACATTAAATCTACACCCTTACCCTCATCTACATAAGCAGTAAACTTTTCAAAGAATGTTAAGACAAGATTCTTCCTTAGTGAAACCAAGTTGACTATCCAATAAAATTCTAAACTTTCTTAAATGACTCTACAAAGCATCTTTTATCAGACTTTAAAAAAATTTTCCCACAACTAATGTAAGACTAATGGGTCTATAATTACTGGGACAATTTTTATCACCTCCCTTGATAAGAGGAGTTACATTAGCTAACTTCCAATCCTCTGGTACTTGCCCACTATTCAAGAACTGACATTAAATAGTATTAAGTGGCTCACATATCCAATATTTAACCTCCTTCAAAACCCTTGGGGAAATATTATCTGGCACAGGAGCCTTATCGTTTTTTAAACTTCCAAATTTTTTCATAACCAGCTCAGAATTGATGCAGTCATCTTGTTTGATCTTGTTTCCATTTATCATCTGTTTAAGATGTGGAATACTGCTTAAATCTTTGTTAGTAAAAACCAAAGAAAAAGCAAAATTTAATAATTCAGCCATCTCATAATCAACAGATACTAGCCTTCCTTTATCATCCCTCAAGGATCCTACCCCCCATCCTAATATTTTGTTTACCCTTAATGTATTTAAAGAAATCCTTAATGTTAATTTTTACATTTTCAGCCAACCTTTTCTCATACATCCTTTTTGAGGTCTTAATTTCCTGTTTCTCCAATTTTCTTGATCTTTTATAATCTTCTAAATCTCCTGTCATACAAGTCAATTTAAATTTCTTAAATTTATGATGCTTTTCTTTAAAGTTATCTCTTAAACTCTTTGTGAGCCAACCTTATTTTTACTTGCAGCTACCCTTTTCTTTCTATAAGAAATATGTTTCCTTTAAATATTTAAAAATTTATCTTTTAAAAATTTTCAACATCTGATCAGTGTCTCCAAATACCTCAGCTGCCCAATCTACAACAGATAATTCTTGTCACGTCCCTTCAAAATTTACTTTTTTGAAATTTGTAACCAAAATATCATTATTCCTTATCTCCATATGCAGCAAAACATTAAACCTAATAGAGCAATGATCACTTGCACCCAGATGTTCCACAATTTCCACCCTCTTGATCATTTCTATATTTGAAGTTAACAATAAATCTAAAATAGTATTGTTTCTAGTAGGTTCCTTGACTAATTGGTGAAGAAAATGATCCTGAACAGTTCCAAAAACCTTTCTCCCTCATGGTTTGACTCTAGCATTTCCCAATCTATATGCCTGGAATTAAAATCCCCCATAATTAGGACTTCATCAACAGCTGAAATCTTAATCTCATTGTAAAGTTTCTCACTAATTTCATCATTATTATTTGGTGGTCTGTAACAAATTCCCACTAAAAGCATTTTCCCTTAATTATAT